AAATTAGCACTTTGTGTCAGCTTCTTTTATTTCAAAATGTGCTAGTGAAATAAAAGGACTTGATTTGATTTTAATTTTAAATGTAGTATTTAAATTAAGGCTTATGGGAGTGCCTACTGGGGTCAGCGGGGGAGCTGGCCCCAGGAAGGGGTCACCTGCCCCTCCCTTCCTTCCCTCCCCATCTCCAGCTGCCTCCCTCTCCCGCTCCACCACAACCACCCACACATGCAGGGCCTTGGAGTAGGGGTATGTCACCAGGGTGCAGAGGAGGCTACCCCCCCCTCTGTCCCCTTCTGGCTGCCTCTGCCTCAATTTTATCCCACAACTTAGACATTCACATTACTCACACTACAGTGGGGCAAAAAAGTATTTAGTCAGCCACCGATTGTGCAAGTTCCCCCACCTAAAATGATGACAGAGGTCAGTAATTTGCACCAGAGGTACACTTCAACTGTGAGAGACAGAATGTGAAAAAAAAATCCATGAATCCACATGGTAGGATTTGTAAAGAATTTATTCGTAAATCAGGGTGGAAAATAAGTATTTGGTCAATAACAAAAATACAACTCAATACTTTGTAACATAACCTTTGTTGGCAATAACAGAGGTCAAACGTTTACTATAGGTCTTTACCAGGTTTGCACACACAGTAGCTGGTATTTTGGCCCATTCCTCCATGCAGATCTTCTCGAGAGCAGTGATGTTTTGGGGCTGTCGCCGAGCAACACGGACTTTCAACTCCCGCCACAGATTTTCTATGGGGTTGAGGTCTGGAGACTGGCTAGGCCACTCCAGGACTTTCAAATGCTTCTTACGGAGCCACTCCTTTGTTGCCCGGGCGGTGTGTTTTGGATCATTGTCATGTTGGAAGACCCAGCCTCGTTTCATCTTCAAAGTTCTCACTGATGGAAGGAGGTTTTGGCTCAAAATCTCACGATACATGGCCCCATTCATTCTGTCCTTAACACGGATCAGTCGTCCTGTCCCCTTGGCAGAAAAACAGCCCCATAGCATGATGTTTCCACCCCCATGCTTCACAGTAGGTATGGTGTTCTTGGGATGCAACTCAGTATTCTTCTTCCTCCAAACACGACGAGTTGAGTTTATACCAAAAAGTTCTACTTTGGTTTCATCTGACCACATGACATTCTCCCAATCCTCTGCTGTATCATCCATGTGCTCTCTGGCAAACTTCAGACGGGCCTGGACATGCACTGGCTTCAGCAGCGGAACACGTCTGGCACTGCGGGATTTGATTCCCTGCCGTTGTAGTGTGTTACTGATGGTGACCTTTGTTACTTTGGTCCCAGCTCTCTGCAGGTCATTCACCAGGTCCCCCCGTGTGGTTCTGGGATCTTTGCTCACCGTTCTCATGATCATTTTGACCCCACGGGATGAGATCTTGCGTGGAGCCCCAGATCGAGGGAGATTATCAGTGGTCTTGTATGTCTTCCATTTTCTGATGATTGCTCCCACAGTTGATTTTTTCACACCAAGCTGCTTGCCTATTGTAGATTCACTCTTCCCAGTCTGGTGCAGGTCTACAATACTTTTCCTGGTGTCCTTCGAAAGCTCTTTGGTCTTGGCCATGGCGGAGTTTGGAGTCTGACTGTTTGAGGCTGTGGACAGGTGTCTTTTATACAGATGATGAGTTCAAACAGGTGCCATTCATACAGGTAACGAGTGGGGGACAGAAAAGCTTCTTACAGAAGACGTTACAGGTCTGTGAGAGCCAGAGATTTTCCTTGTTTGAGGTGACCAAATACTTATTTTCCACCCTGATTTACGAATAAATTCTTTACAAATCCTACCATGTGGATTCATGGATTTTTTTTTCACATTCTGTCTCTCACAGTTGAAGTGTACCTCTGGTGCAAATTACTGACCTCTGTCATCATTTTAAGTGGGGGAACTTGCACAATCGGTGGCTGACTAAATACTTTTTTGCCCCACTGTACATATAGGATCTTGGGGGTGGGCACGATACACGGAGTCCAAATTACCATCAGGGTGTACACCTCACCCCTGGCGTCGTTGCCCACCTCTCAATTTTAAATACACGTAGACATTGAGGGCTAGCAGGAGGGACTATGCGCTTACCTGCTGCTCTCTGGCAGGTAGCTCCATGCCCTCCTGGGTTTTAAATGCACCTTAGAACACACATGCATCAACACTACAATGAGCGGGTGGAGGGAGGTTTGGAGTCTTCTCTCACCCCCGTTCTCTGCGGCCTGCTGGAGCGGGGGGGCTAGGAGGAGGAGTTGGCCGTCCGACTGCGGTCTGGAGTGTGGGGCCTCCCTGCTGCTGCGGAGTCGGGGCGGTCTGCCTCTCCCCACCGCAGGGAAAAGGGTAACACCACCTGGGTCTGGGTGCAGTTCCCCCCTCCAGGGGCAAGGGTACCTAGACCCGGTTCGTAGAGTACGCTTGGGGAGTGTGATCGTGTGTACAGCGTCTCTTTATGTCTGTCTCCACGTTGGTTGAGTGTGGAGTAAGTGCATATGAGAGCATGAGGGTGGGAATGGATGTTTGTGTCTGTGTGTGCCTGTATGTCTGTGTCTATATGTCAGGTTGGGTATCAGACGCCACCTCTCTGGGGACATCTCAGGCCCTCCAAGGTTTGGAGGCCTATCTCCACCCACCACCACTTCCCCTGCCAGTGGCGGACTCCCTCAGGTGCGTTGGTGGTTCTTTGTGTCTGGGGGTGGGCGTCCGGGTACACACCGGCTCACTCCTTGGCGGCCGCTTATCGGGGCCTGGAGCCTGGGGCTCGCTCGGGCCACTTCGGAGGTGGGGTGCCCCCGGCCTCTCGGCCTGGGGCTCGGTCACTCAGGCACAGCTGGCTGCCGGCGGAGCTCACGGGCGCGTCACTGCAACTCCCCCTGGCTTCTGCTCCGCGGCTGCTGAGTGAGCCCTCATCTGGGACTCTCCTCAGCTCTTCTGGGACAGTGGCGCGGCTGCCCCTCTGTTGGTCTTCCTTGGTCTCTTGTGTTCTGGGGGCCTCTGGATGTCTGGAGTTTTGATCTCCTCCATACCTGCTTCATACCCTGGAGGACGGGGCTGTGGCTCCCCACACTCCCTAGCAGATCGTTACATGGAGAAACCTTTGGAATGCAAGCATGCTGATCCACACAGGTATGCACACAGGTGTACACACGGGTATTCACAGACGCGGACTACAGCTTTCTTGGCTGCTGCCTCAAAGCACATTGTGCGCTGTCTATCTTGCGTGCTGCACAATATCGTTTATTATTTAGTATCTACTGATATTTACTGCTAGCTAGTTTATTGTGATGGTGCCGTTTTTTTTATTATGTTGCTCTTTGTTGTTTGCTTTCTCTTCTGTTTTTTTTCTCCATACAGGTGACCCAGGTGTTTTGTTTTTTTTTGTTGTTTTTTTTTTTTTTTCTTTCTTCCCCCCCTTCTCACCGTCTCTTCTCCCCTTTGGTTTTCTTTCTCTCCCTCTCTTTCTTTCATTCTTTCTCCCTGTCCTATCCCCCAGTCATGTCTGTCCCGTTTGTAGCAACTGAAAATAAAATAAATTCATAATTATAATAAAGGTCAATCAAATGGACCAATATGGCAAGGCCATGATGATCCACTTGGTAAAATAAATCCGCTTGGCATCTTTCTTGGCCTTAAGACAACAATTCTGATGGCTAAAGATCCAAACGGGACACAAAAAATAAATAAATTAATTAATTAAGGCTCATAAAAAATAGATAAATTATATTTACATCTATCAATCTACCTACCTATCTATCTAGTTAATTTTTTAGGGTATGAGTCCTTTTCTGCCACTTTTCAGTTTGGGGTCCCACAGGGCTCAGTTTTAGGGCCTTTGCTTTTTGCATTATACTTGCAGCCCTTGGGTACCATCCTTAGAAGGCATGGAATAGCCTTCCACTGCTATGCTGATGACTGCCAGATTTATTTGCCTCTGGAACAGAAAGATGCCTCCTCCATTCAACCACTTTTGACATGTCTAGATGATATTAAAACTTGGATGGCCCAAAATTTTCTAAGACTCAATTCAAGTAAAACTGAGGTGATTGTGTTTGGTCCTAGTGGACCTTGTTACCCCTCCACTATTGATTTGGGACCCCTGGCAGAGTATTTTAAACCTGTTGTCACTAACTTGGGTTTTAAGATGGATAGTGATTTTAAATTGAACACTCAAATTAGGGCTACTGTCAAGTCCACTTTTTATCACCTAAGGTGATTGGCAAAGCTAAGACCTATTTTATCTCGGCCACATTTTGAAACAGTAATCCATGCTTTTATTTCATCTCGTTTGGATTACTGTAATGCACTGTATTTTGGAGTTAGTGTCTTCTCTCTCGACTGCAGCTGGACCAAAATGCTGCTGCATGACTTTTAACCAGAACCCATAAGAGAGAGCATATAACTTCTATCCTGGCTTCACTCCACTGGCTGCCTGTTCATTGTAAAATTTTAATGTTTGGTTTTATATCTTTAAATGGTCTTGCTCCACTTTATCTCTGTGAGCTTCTTCGTGCTTATTCCCCTCCTAGGTCTCTCAGGTCAGCTGCCAAGCTGCTCCTGGAGGTACCCAGGTTTAAGAGGAAGCTCAGAGGGAGCAGGGCCTTCTCTATTTGCCTCAGCACATAAGAGAGGCTCTATCATTGTCCACCTTTAAAGCCCGTCTTAATACGCACTTTCACTCCCTGGCTTATTATGACACAGTCTGATGCGGACTTTTTGTATGTTTTAGTCTAATTAAATTTGCATTTATTTATTTTTTATTGTTTTTTATTTTTTATTTTCTTACATATACTATTTCACTATTGTAATTTATTATGTCATGTGTTTGTTTTCAGCTGAGAGTGTTTTGAAGTGCTATATAAATTGCTTGCTTGCTTGCTCGCATATATATATATATATATATATATATATATATATATATATATATATATATATATATTATAATTATATTATATATATATATATATATATATATATATATAATATATATTTTAAAGTTAAGGCTCATAAAAAAATAGGGTGCATATATATATAATTGATGTTCTTTATCAAATTTGTCTCCCCCTGGTGGACTTCCTGAGATATTATAGGAAAGTGACGACAGAAAGCTCCACCAATTAGAGGCGGGGATGCCGGTCAGGTGACTAATTCTTCGCCGCCATCATTGTTAGTGGCAGTGAAGCTTGCGTGGAGGGTGACAAGAAGCACCAGCGGAGCTTCGTGGAGTTCTGGTCCGGCTGTGAGTGAGTGTTGTCTGGATATTCAGCCATGGTTCAGACGTGCTCAGCGTACGGCTGTAAGAACCGCTACCACAAAGACAAAGAGATTTCTTTCCACAAGTAAGTTAAGTGCCAATGTGTGTCTGTGTGTTTCAGCGAGCTGGGTAGCATTAGCAGTCCTGACATGGTGGTTGAGCAACGTCCACCAGCCTGCGTTCACTAATCTGCCTCATTAAAGATTAACTGCTCTTCCTCAACAGTACGAAACATGTGGAGTAGGACACGGAACATTTTAAGTGTTTGCAGGTTTCATTGCTAAAAATCCGGCTACATAAAAGTCAACAGATGCTATTTTTATTTGATGAAATCAAATGTTTTTATCAAGTCTAAAGTCACAAGTTTCTCTATAGTGGCTATACCGAGGCACAAAAATTTAGATATTACTAGAACTTTACGGCTATTTCGCTTTTTTGCAAGCCGAAGTAATCAGCACGGAACACATTTACTTATAAAGTCTTGCAGTTATATTCTTAAATATGTTTGACTTTCCGTAAATAAGGGGATAGTGAATTCCTCCAAATTTAACTGGAGTTTGGATTAATGTGTTTATGCTTACTGCCGGGAGTTAATGCGCATTTCTTTAGTCCCCAACTTTAGTCTCAAAACAAGTAACAGAAAGGGTTAACGCTTCAGTTTTGTTTTGTTTTTTTTGTTCTGTTTTTTACCAAAGACATAAAGTGTACTTCATAAGCAACTTAAACTAATTATTACATTAAACTGATAACAGAAAATAATTCCCAAATCATACAGAAGCGTTTTGACGTTTCTGTGTATTATTATTATCACTTGTTTGCCAGGTTTCCTCTGGCCCGTCCAGATATCTGCTGTAAATGGGTGGCTGCGATGAGGAGAAACAACTTCAAGCCAACAAAGTACAGCAACATCTGCTCCCAGCACTTCACCGAAGACTCCTTCAAGAGGGAGTGCAACAACCGTGTGCTGAAGGAGAGCGCTGTGCCGTCGCTCTTCACCTTCAACCTCAGCATCAAGGTGACCTAACTAAAGCCGGCAGGGCTTTATTTTTCCAGGAGTCTCCCAAGAGTTTCCAGTCACATTTCTTTATTTCAAGATAAGAGCACAGATCTGAGAGACAGCTCAAATTAAGCAGATAGTTTAGGTAAGCTAGATAAGTAGATCAGGTTAACTTCAGTTAGGTAGCAATTAGTTAACTCGTGTTTTTTTTCTCTAGCAGTCAGAGTCCCTGGAGGATCCCTTCCCCGCTGAGAACCTCTTCCCGCTTTCTCTGCCTCTGACCTCTGAACCAGTGGAGGAGGAGGAGCCTGAGGGCAACCCGCTTGACACCTGCAGCGTCGCGATGACAACGACCTCAACGACGACGGCGGTCTCCTGCGACCACAACTACACGGTAGAGGACTCGGCGCAGCAGAAAAGGCGCATCGAGCTGCTGGAGGAGCAGGTGGAACATCTGAGGAAGAAGCTGAAGACGACGCAGCAGAAGTGTCGGCGGCAGGAGAGGCAGCTCAAGAGGCTGAAGACCGCCCGGGAGGCGGCACCCAGGATGGCCCGTCAGTCGGCGCCGGAGCCGGGCTTCAGTGAGGGATATGTGATTTTGCCGAAACACATCTACCACAGTTTGAAAGGCATGGAGTGAGGCGGAGTGGAGAAGTTTCATCTGCTGCTGAACTGAAGGACACAAATATTCACACATCTTTCTGATTTTCTCTTTGTTCTCTAGAGCTCGGGCTGCACTTAAATGACTTTTTAAAGCTTTAGGTTTTGGTTTGGTTTCAAGAGCCAACAGCTCTTCATACTTGATGCACACAGACTGATGGTTCTTGTCACTGTGAGGAAAACAAAGCACAGTTATGCCCCCCCCCTCAAAAAAAAAGAAAAAACTGTTGAACTATTCCTTTAAAGAGTGCTTTTTATGTTCTGTCGAGGTGTTACCACGTAAGCTGAGGTGAGATCGTCATCTCTGGATTTTCTTGACCGATTTCGTTGTGCCTTGCAGGAGCAAACAACAGCTTCTGTTTTACACTGTGCTGAATTTCTCTAGGAGGATCATCCCAGTGAGGAGAGCTGGGTCTGCAGCCACAACTGAGCAGTTTTCATCTGAAGTGTCCACGGTGTCGAAGCTCAAAGGTGAGAGCCGAGGCCGTTATGAACCATGATGTTCGGAGGCATCTGAGGTAGATCGTTAGGAGAATCGATCTGAGCCTTTAGGTTTTGAGTTTTGCAAATGAAAGAGGAAAAAAAGTTGGTAAACCAAATTCATCAGGAAAATAAACTTTTTTTGTACTCTTTGATCTGTATGATGTCATAGAGAGATGATATCCTGATATGGTCCTGTTGGGCACAGAAGCAATACCCAGATAATCAGAAAGAAAGACGGCTCAAAGTCGGAGAGGCTAAAACGCCTCATTTCAGACAGAGGATGAACTGAAAACCCGGTATCAAAAAAAGAGATTATTTTGAACTGTGACTCATGCAAAGCTGCTCTGAGAGTTTATGAATTGAAAACACGATGCTGGAAATGTGCTGGATAGATCCCCATTAAACATTCTGCTGTTTAATATGGAAATAAAATTTGGCAGTATGAAATTAACTCACTTGAGCTTCTCTGCTTTTGTTTTCAGAGTTTTGTTTTTTACTTAAAGGCTGATTGAAGTACATTTGCTGCAAAAGCAGCTTTACATTTTTCAGTGTTTCTTGAGATGCAAAAACACTGCTTGTTACTGCTGATGTGCAATAAACTGAAGCCATATACGAGCAGCTTCTTTGGCTCTTTGTGCTTCCTTCACTGAGGAGGTCATGCGACTGGTTTTGCATGAAATTAGCAGAAGTGAAGCTCGGCCGTTGTTGTGTCATCACCAATGAAATTAAAGTGAATAAAAGAAAAACCAGCAGACATCGTCTTCATGTTCCCATGAAAATATCAGAAAATGAAACGGATCCAAATCTCCTCCTAGATCCAGGGACTCGGTTCATGTTTGGTGTGGAGGGATTTTCCACCTTTGTAGATGTTTGTAGTCATTCCCATGATGGAAGACTACAAGATCCAAACCCAGAAGGTGGTGTTCCTGATGTTTGAAAGTCCTACTTTTTTTTCCCCAACATGGAAGACTATCTTTACATTGTTACTGTGGGAGATTTTATTTTCTCCCCTGCCCCTGCTTAGCTCGGCGGGTCAGCCCAGCAGACAGCAGGATTGTCCCGACAGCCGTTTTAATGTCATGCAGTACAAAAAAATCAAACATGGAAACTACAAAACAAACAAATTCAAGCATCCTTTTTAATCATTAGAAAGCGATTTTGACCCAGAATGGATCAGCCTGGTGGGTAAAATGGAAACCTTTCATATGCTCAAATTTGTTTTGAGCAGTCACCTGTTCCACACTGAGATACGAACCATCAAAGTTTAGCAAAGAGTGTTATTTTGAAGTTTTCTCCCGTGAATCAGATCTGCAAATGTGTACACTTGTTGCTGGAAGCTCACACACATGTCAAGGGTGTGAATATCATGGACTTTTAATGATTTCTTTAAATTGTTCATTTTTCAGGCTGGAATGATCATGCAGCATACATTGTTAATGATTTAAAAAAAAACTTCAATAAATTGGAACTACCAATTAAAATTTCATCTAGCTTGGATGAAATTTCTGTGTCCACCAGGTGGCAACACAAGTGTGACCTAATACTGCCACGTAGATTTCTCCAGACTGGACAATGTACAGCTGAGATACACAATATCCTGTCTTGTGGCGAATATTCGAAAGTTGGCGTGCTGCCATGACCGCGCCCTTTAACATAAACTCAAAAACTTTGCAATTTAACATCACCAAAGATCACACTCACTAAAGATCATGTTGCTCTGATGAAATCCCTGTAGAAGAATAAAACCTGACATTTTCTGTTGCCACTAGGTGGCACTTTAACTATTGCTGACAATGGGCATACCAGGGTGAGAGACTCATCCTGCCTGTGAAGTTTGGGAGAGACTGGAAAACATGTCTTTGAGTTACATCAATTTGGTGCCTTGTGGGGAAACATTAAAATTCACTGCGGCTTTTGACAAAAACTGACAGTTTTCAAAGCACCCAAAGACCAACTCCTTAAGCCTGTCCTGGACAAATTTGAGGTTGCCTGAGTCAGCCACCTTGAAACTGTAGCCCAAAGTGAAGCCCAAAGGTTAAAACATGACATTTCATCTGTTCCCACTAGGTGTTGCCGTCACTATTTTAAAATATTACAATTGAAATGTGTTCAGGGGCAGAGCTTTATCACATCTGAGAAGTTTGGTCCAGGTTTGGAGCTCAGGCCCTGACCTAAACTTTTAAACTCAATTATTCTTTCTGAATATTTGAGCCATTGTTTGTGGAAAGAGATGTTACACAATTTTTTTAAAGTGTAACTTTCCAGGTTTGTGACACCAGAGATTTATATTCATACTCAAAATTATATTGACTTAAAACTAAAACTCTTTTTTAAATTTGAGTGATGATGCATTAAAGCAAAAAATAAAATAAAATAAAGGTAACTTTTTTTTTGTTACAATTAATTAAGTAATTAGCATAAAATTATTATGACTAAACTTAGACTTTCAAGACTGCTGAGTTTTATATTCCTAAAATCATTGGTCAGTACCAGTACAACATTCAACTTTTATTGTGTTGTATAATAATAAAAAAAACACAACATAAAAAGCTAGTATAAAACTAGTATACATTTTTCAATGCACATATTAAACAAATATGTAAGACTGTTTTCTTCCATTTGCACAATATCTCTAAAATTAGAAATATCCTGTTTGAGAGTGATACTGAAAAACTAGTTCATGCATTTATTACTTCTAGGCTGGACTACTCGGGAGGCTGCAGCTAAGGTCTCCAACAATGCTAGTGTTAGCGGCGCTAACGGCTGCAGACAGGAAGATACTGCCAGCACCGGAAACGTGCTCGTCATCTCCGAGCATGAAGTAAGGAGAGCCTTCAAGAGAGTGAACACCAGGAAAGCAGCAGGACCAGACGGCATCCCAGGTCGTATCCTAAGAGACTGCGCATACCAGCTAGCTCCTGTGTTCACTGAGATATTCAACATCTCTTTATCTCAGTCGGTGATCCCCACATGCTTCAAAGAGTCCATCATTGTTCCTGTCCCGAAGAAACCCCACCCTGCTTCTCTCAATGACTATCGCCCTGTAGCCCTCACCTCAGTAGTGATGAAGTGCTTTGAACGCCTGGTCAGAGACTTCATCATTTCTTCACTACCAGACACACTGGACCCACTACAGTTCGCTTACCGTCCAAATCGTTCCACAGACGATGCCATCTCTCATCTCCTCCACACATCACTCACTCACTTGGACACTAGAAGGGGGAATTATGTTAAAATGCTCTTCATAGACTACAGCTCTGCATTTAACACCATAATTCCCTCCACACTCACCACCAAGCTGGAGCATCTGGGACTCAGCTCATCTATGTGTCAGTGGATCTCCAACTTCCTAACTGGCAGACCACAGGCAGTAAGGATGGGCGGACATGTCTCAGCCTCCACCACTCTCAGCACTGGAGCCCCCCAGGGGTGTGTTCTGAGCCCCCTGCTGTACTCTTTGTACACATATGACTGTGTGGCCACTACCAGCTCCACCACCATCATCAAGTTTGCTGACGACACCGTCGTGGTGGGCCTGATCTCTGATAACAACGAGACGGCCTACCTGAAGGAGATTAGGAATCTGGAGAACTGGTGCCAGAGGAACAACCTCCTTCTAAACGTCAGTAAGACAAAGGAGCTGATAGTGGACTTCAGCACTAAGCAGGAGAGGAACTACCAGACCCCCGTCATCAACGAGTGCCCAGTGGAGAGAGTGGACAGCTTCAAATACCTCGGAGTTCACATCACGCAGGACCTGTCATGGTCCTGTCACATCAACACCGTGGTGAAAAAGGCCCGACAGCGTCTCTACCACCTCAGACGCTTGAGAGACTTCCAACTGCCCTCCAAGGTGCTCAGGAACTTTTACTCGTGCACCATAGAGAGCATCCTGGCGGGAAACATCTTAACCTGGTTCGGGAACAGCACCATGCAGGACAGACGAGCTCTACAGAGGGTTGTGCGGTCAGCTGAGCGCACCATCCGCTCCGAGCTCCCTGACCTGCACTCAATCTACAGCAGGCGGTGCTGGACCAAGGCCAGGAAGATCGTGAAGGACCTCAGCCATCCCAACAACAGACTGTTCTCTCTGTTGAGGTCAGGAAAGCGATTCCGCTCCCTGAAGACCAACACAGAGAGACTGAGGAGGAGCTTCTTCCCGCAGGCGATACGGTCTCTCAATCACACCACCACACAGTACTGACCCACACATATGGTTCTTACACACACACTGGACTTTCTGGACTTTGTTTTTGCACAACACTGGTCACTATATTCTTCATTTCCGGTTAATACTTGTACAGCTGCTGTTATTGTGTATATATTTATTTATATTTAGATTTCTTCATACATTCTTATATAGTTCTATATTGTGTATTGTGTATTTTGTTGTACAGTTATTTTATTTTCAACTTTAATTTATATATTTTATCTTATTCTTCCCAGTTAAATTTACCCTTCATTCTAATTTGTGTTGTACAGTTATTTCATTTTTAACCTTAATTTATATTTTATTCCTTCCTAGTTAAATTTACCCTTTTTAATTTTTCATATTTATTTCCTATCTTATTCATAGCCTTTCCTTTTTTGTTTTCTTTAGGTCACGAGCAGTTGTCCAAGCATTTCACTACATATCGTACTGTGTATGACTGTGTACGTGACAAATAAAATTTGAATTTGAATTTGTTCTGATGTGGTGTTCAGAGCTGCCGACCAACGGGTTGAGGATCGAAGCCAGAAACTTAGAGATGTTATAGGTGACCGAGTTGATCATACAGATAATCGGTCTTAAAGGAGGAGTTAGGTTAGCTGTTGATTCAAAATTGGCCATAGGAGTGAGTGCAAGTGGGTCTTTTTGTCTCTATGTGAGAATGGATGTAGGTGACTTTTATTGTGATTTGACACGACATAAATATAACCGGAGTCAAGTGAATATGGAAGATGTATTTGAAAAAAGCAAGAATCTCTGATGGTGGGAAATGCTCTATAAATCATTAAAATCTGTTTTCTAACGTGTGAGACGAGTACATGGGTAAATAAACTCACTATGGGCATGAATGCCATTGTTTTTTGGGGCTTTCTAAAAATTTTATTAATCATTTCTATTCATGGAAACAATAAATACAAGATAATTAGGGTAAAGGCAGGGGAGAGGATTAAACAGAAAAAAACAAAAACAAAAATAACAAAAACACTGTGGTTGTGAAGTATCTGCATGATTGAGGAATTTCATTGATTAACGAAATTCAGTTCAATTTTCCATCCATCCATCTTCATCCGCTTTATCCGAGGCCGGGTCGTGGGGGCAGCAGCCTAAGCAAAGAGGCCCAGACCTCCCTTTGTGTGTGTGTGCCAGTTCAATTTTTTCAATTAAATTTTATTTATATAGCGCCAAACCACAACGACAGACGCCTCAAGGAGCTTTATATTGTAAGGTAGACCTCACAATAATACATACAGAGAAAAAAAACCCCACAATCATATGACCCCCTATGAGCAAGCACTGTGGCAACAGTGTGGAGGAAAAACTTCCTTTTCACAGGAAGAAACCTCCGGGAGAACCAGGCTCAGGGAGGGGCGGCCATCTGCTGCGACCGGTTGGGGTGAGAGAAGGAAGAC